CTCACGAGATCTGATAAGCTGGTTTTGTTTCTCGCCGCCGGAATTTTTGAAATTTCGCCGGAGAAGAAGAAAACGGTGGCTTGATCGCCGGAGAGGCGATATGGATTCGAGGAGATTCACGGTGAGGATGAGATTAGGGATCAAAGCGAAGAGCTTTTGTGGTGTGGAGAAGAAGCCATGAGGCTAGAAATGGAGGGAATTTGGCCTTTGCGTTATTCAAATTTCAGGTAATTCATATATTCCAATTTTAGGAATAATCTAATTTTCGATCCAAAAAAATTGGAAATACGAAAAAATCGGAATTTTGAAAATTGAATGAAAAAAATTGTTCCAAACTCAGATTTTTTTTCTTTTTCGAATTGGTATCGACTGAAATTATAAATTCTAATTTTTCGTTCGCTTTTATGTAAACTATATAATAATATTGATATCATCGGTGTAGTATTTAGGATACAAATGGAATTGATGAAATTATTTTCGAAAATTGAAATTGAATTGTAAAATTTTAATCCCATGTATATATATTCCAATTCGAATCCCAAATATTTCCCAAAAAAAAAATCTGAAATCTGAATTTTCTAGATTCAAAATGAAAAGGAGAAATTGTTTCAAGATTGAAATTAAGGGTAAATTACGGCCAACCCCGGAGGTAATGTCAAATTACGAAAACCTCCCTTATGTTTGGGTAATTACAACGACCCATCAACAATGAATTTTCTTAACATGTTCACCCTTACAGTGTTAAATTTAGTGGAATCTTCTAAATTACGTAGAATATTTTCCAACTTGTATGTATCAGATTTTGGTGCATCAGAAACAGTATTTTTGCACAAAACGAGTACATACTAGAGATTCACCGAATTTAGAAGATTATATTGAATTTGACATCATAAGGGTGGACGTGTAAGAAGATTCATGATTGAGGGTGGTAGTTGTAATTTTCCAAACAAGAAGGGGGGTTTCGTAATTCAGCATTATGTCGGGGGTGGCCGTAATTTACCCTTGAAATCAATATATAGTTAAGAATGCAATCAATGAAAATTGTATCTTATGCTTGCAGCCAAGAAATGGAAAAGCTACAAGCACAAATTGAACAAGTAGCCACAAAAATATTGCTATTTCTGCAGCGGCACACTTCGAAAAAGCTGTACCCAGAAAACGGTTCGCCGGAGGAGCAAGAACTCGCCGGAAAAGTATGCCGGGTACAGAAACACTGCCGGAGAACAGACGGGGAGCAGTCGGAAAATTCGCTGAGATACGACGTCATCAGAATGCTGATAAGGGGAACCGAGTTCCCGCATGCATTGTGTTTGCATTTGTGCAGTGGGAAAACTGATTTCCATGTTTACTCCAAGAAAGGTTGGCTCTCATTTTGCCCTAATCAAGATTCAATTGTCATCACGCTTGGTGACAATTTACAGGTAATTTAATTTATTATTGTGTTTTATTTGTGTGTTACTCTAAATGTTAAATAAAACTCTTAATATTAACAAATAGATGATTTTTTTATTAATATTAAATAATTTTGGACCCAAAAAAATGTAAAATAAAATAATTAAATGGAATAAGAAGAAGAAGAAAAAACACTATAAAAGAAAAGGGAAAGGGTTGTTGTGGCCATGAAAAGATAAAGGGCATCATCATCATATGAAAAGAAACCACAAAAATTAAATTAAATTAGAAGTAATTAAATTAATAGAATAGTCATAATTGTGTTTATCGGGTAATTAAATGGTACACCTAGTTATTTACGTCAGGTGGATTTGAACAATAGAGTTAAATATAAATTACACACATATGTCATATGTGTATGTGTGTAATGATGGCATGCCACTAATGACATCTCCAAGAGTCAAGAGTGGAACTAATATAATCATTTTCTAATTTGTCTAATTAATATTAATAATCAAATTTGTCAACTTCCTTTATTTCCAACATTAACTAATTATGATTCAAGGCAAAAATAAAAAAATAAAAAAATGGTGCCACTTCGTTAAGGTAATGTTAAATTATGAAAAATCCATTTTTTTTGAGTTATTATAACTACTCCCCTCAAATATGTATTTTTTTACCAAAAAAAACCTCGTTTAGCAGGTAAATTCGACACCATAACAATGGACATCTAAGACAATAGATAGTTGAAGGATGGTTGTAATTACTTAAATATGAAGAATTTTGTTTTCCGTAATTTCACCTTACCTTAGAGCGACCGTAATTCGCCCTAAAAAATAATTATAACCCTAATCTTTTGATTGCGTTATTAACTTATTTTCCATGCAGGCCTGGAGTGGTGGACAATATAAACATGTAATAGGAAGACCAATCTTCAAAGGTGAAGATGACACGTGTATTTCAATGGGTTTCCTATTTTCACCTCCAATTTATGTCGCAAAATCAATTCAAATTGAAGAGGTTGTCACTATTTCAGTGGGCCAGCAAATCATATTTTCTGTATTTATAATTTTGGTTTACCAATTTTTGGTTTATTTTTACCATATTTTTGTATAAAAATATGAGCATAATTAAAATTTTCATTTCATTTCATTGGGTGGGCCATATTTTAATTTTATTGGGCCCAAATCATAATTTCAGTCAACATTTATTGCGAGTTTGTTGGACCGTTTGTGATTACCGAGTAATTTCTTATTTATTCAAGGGTAGTATTTATAATTAAGGGTAAATTACACACACCCCCCTGAGGTAAGCTTAAATAACTGTAAGGTCCCTGTGGTATCGATAATTACATTCACCCCCCTGAAAGGTAGTTAAAAACTCTAACGGGATAATGCGTTGGATACATTATTCCGATAGGGTTCTAATGGACTATTGGTTTCAGGAAGTGGTGAAGACAACAAAGAG